TAAGGCGTTAATGTTTCAGACTTAGCAAACCTTTTGAACAGCTTAAAACCTGATAAAAATGTCTATAGTTTAACTTTTCAAAGTATTGTATCGAAGGCAGTTTGGTATGTGACTCTGTCACGACCCAAAGCTACAGTTTCAAGTTATTTTTGTGGTATAAAAACACCCTCACACTCATACGCACACGCACAGATACACAAACAAGCACAAGTAAACAGGCTCAGTATACCAAACACTTTTCCAAGGGAAGGAAATCCATGAATACACATAGACAACTGACATGTTTCTCTCCGTGGATACTTAATGTGATGAAATCGGTCCAAACGCACTGTCAGACTTCATTCTATACTAAAGTGTTTACAATCTCAGCACTATGGACAGTACTTCAGCACCATGGATAGGGGAAGTCAGGGTCTATTCAAAGTGATTGGATCCCTGCAAAGAGGCTGAAATGGACGTTTATTGCATACTTTTAGAGGTGGGTGTCATTTGCGCTCCGAATGATCTCTGTGTCCTCTCGCTTAAGGTTAATAAGCTGCTGGTTAGTTTCGTGTCTCTTTACAAATCTATTAAAGGTCCCCTATTATACTGTTTTTCATCAATATATTATAGGTCTCAGTTATATACAAGACATGTCTCTGAAGTGTTTGCCTCGAAACACCAAACAGATCATTGTAGCATCCCATAAACCCCTCTGTTTCAGCCCTGTTTCAAAAGGGCTGATTCTCTGTCTGTTACTTTAGATGAATATAAGGAGCCACTCCCCACGCCCCTCTGAGAGATATTTGGTTAAAAAGAACACAATGGTGCTCTAGGAGGAGATTCAGGTGATAAGGTGGTGGGGGTTACCTTGGTTGGTGATTGGCTAATCCAAAACATCGTTATGACATCATAAAGTGGCCAAAATCTGATCAGCTCATTTTCAGACATTATATAAATGAATCAGGACAAAAAGTGAGCAAATCTTTTTTCCTGAAACTTTCAGAATCTCTTTACAGTACACAGAGGGGACACATGTTTATGTATAAAAGATGTGAAAAAGTGGATTTTGCATAATAGGTCCCCTTTAAGTCTTCAAGAGTCTGCTGTGTTTCTTTCACACTCTTATCTGCCTTTTTTTGTTGTTGATGTTTTTGGTTGAGTGGAAACAACACAAAATGATGAAGTTAGTAAATGTAGGCCGTGATCCGATCACTTTAGGTATGCACCAAAGATGCTTTGAGGAGGCAAAGAGATCCGATTGCTCAAAACCACCTTCAGAGTGGGTCTGGGTCGCGATTTACCATCTTTTTTTCAGAGTATACAGGGAAGCACCTTTAATGTGGCTGAAGATTGGATTCGTAATAACCCATGACTCTTTGGCTTTTGGCCATCTCTTTTGAAAGTATTTTTCATGTCACAGAAACTATAGAGAGTAATTCTCTTGTCTTTGATGGTATAATCACACTGATGGTAATTTAGGGTGGTGTTCAACAGATTTGACACCCGCCCGAATGCTCTTAGCCCCAGCTTATTGGAGGTCTTTGCACTTATGTTGCCGGGGAAACGAGATGGTGTCGGTTCTTGGGAACTGTCAATAGACAATGTTCACAGATTTTAGAGTTTATAAAAATGATCAGAAAAACCATACATATTACACAATAGCCTATTGCCGCCGAGCGGAGAAATTGTGGTAAACACTGTGGCTCTTTTTTCAATAGTCATCACATATTTCCATAATAATTGTATACACACACACAACAAACCAGTACCAGAACTACTTTTCAATATGTGTTTTATATGCAAACCAAAACGATGTTCATGTTTATTTACATAGAGCGGGGAAGTGAGATTCGATCAAGTGGTCACTTGAGCAACGTGGAGCACAAAAGAGGCATGTTAGTGCCATGTCTGAACCATGGCGTACTGTAGGAGTGGTCTGGGTTTCTCTACCACACATATGCAATACATTTAAGCTATAAAACATAATATGTATTTGTATTCGTCTCTTCAATGTGTTATTAATGTAAAAGTGAAAAACCCTCAAGGAATCATAGAGGGCATGACCATATCTTAAATGAGAAAAGGAGCAGAGAGAGAGAGAAAGTTGCAATAAAACCGAGGCTAATCCCTCTGATACCATTTGGCAGACGGTTGCTTGATATACCTCAGGCTGGATATTAAAAATCTCAGATGGGCTGTCCAACTGACAACTTAATCCATTTAGGGACATTGAGTAAGCAGCAGGAAGCTGAGTCAGGGTCAGTGTACACAGAGGTCTGTCATTTCTCACACACGGCACAATAGGTTTATCTCTGGTAATCTATTCAGAAAGCTTAAGAAGTCAGACCGAAACAGCAGAGAGGCAGGAGAAAAATGCAATCATCCACTTTTGATATCATGATGATTAAAAGGTGTCACATCATTAAAGCCTAATCAGACAGCAGCTACACAAGTACTTCAAAAAAGAAAACCTGTGCTGTATACTCTGGCATTTTCTAATAGGAAGAAAAAAAGACTGTAAGAACATCATTGTCTGGTGTGAGGATATGTTAGGCAAAATCCTTGAATTGCGAAGGGTGCTGAATGTGACCTTTTGAAAACGGGGCAGTTCAATAAGTTAATTAATAAGGCCATGATTCAAGGTAGAGCAAGATTGGCTGGGGGCAAAGCGGTCTCACAGACTTTCCTATTAGTACCTGCAGCAAAATTATTGAAAATAAAAATGGAATATAGGCCGAGTTTGGTGGCTTACATAACAGAAACGTTGTGAGATTCTTGAAAGACAGACAACGTTAACCGAGAAGAAAGTGATGGAGAGGCTTGTAACGTGTAGTGGTTATGTAAGAAAGGTGTTAAGATTGAGTTTCACAAGTACATTTCCAGCCATCAGAAAATAAAACCGATGATATTAGCTACTGTAATAGATACACAGCGGTTTCTAGTCATTATGCTTAGCTAAGATAACCGGCTGCTGGTTGTAGTTTCCTATTCATCATACAGAGTGGTATCAATATTCCCATCTTACTCTCTGCAAGAAAAGCGTATTTCTTTCAAAAGGTCGAAACCATTTTCTAAAAGAAAATACTGAGAAATCAATCATGTTAAGTATTTGGGGCTGAAGATGAGCCAGCTTGTAAGCAAAGCAATTATTGTATACTCAACATTTTTTATGAAGTTCCAGGTAGAAAAGAGCTGATTCTAAAATGCAATATCCTCCATTAGGGAAGTGGCACCTACTGAAATGATAGCAGGTAATAAAAATAAATGAGAGGGGGGGGGGGGGGGGTCAATCCATTGTACTTGGGGCACTTAAATCTGTTTTTGAATAAATACTTGTTCCTATATGGTAGCTATAATATGACAATACACTTTCAGCCATTTATTATTGTTTTTGAGAGTCAATCATTTGTGCAATGTTGTGAATAAAGGTTTGGATGGGATGATTTACATCAAATTCAAACTCTTCGATAGCCATTGCTCACGAAACCTAGAAAATAACGACAGGCACATCAGATGAAAGACACAAAACAAAAGTTTGTCCTGATTCTTTAAATATCAACAAACAGTGCAGTCATGCAATTGGCAATGTTGGCCTGCAGTGACTCATGCATTGACAGAGGCATTTACAGTCAATTTATTCAAGCATTTCAAAAATATCAACTCTGACAGGTGTCATTGTGCACCATCTACCGAATTCACATCACCAAGCAATAGAGTGAGAGGGGCGGTGGTGTGGGCAGAGGGGGCTCATTGTTTGTCTCCTGAGCCTCTCAAACCTGTTCCTGATGAGAGCACATTTTAAACCAGACTGCATGAGCTGCAGGTTCAATACTGCCATCTTCTGGATTAAGTTGTTTATTGTACCATGCAAGGGGTCCTTCCTTTACCTCCTTCCTCACAACCTGTTTAACATTCCTTGTCCATCCAATAATGATGTTTCCGGTCCCCAACCCTAAACCAATAACAAACACATTGTGGATACTATTCATAGGTAGACAAAAGATTTGTATTCTGGACTACAGGAAAGGATTATCTACATGTAATTGATTGAATCCCTGTTAAACTCAAATCCAATTAACCCTCCAATTAGTAAGGTCTTCTATTGCTGCGGATGGAGACACTGTGCATTTGAATATTATGTTAGAAATCTTAAAGTTTCTTCACAAAAGTTACATCAGTTTCCAAATGAGTGAGCAACACTGAACTTCTCAAAAAAGAGGGCTTTGTATGTAGTGTATCATATCCAAACCATACAATATATCTTATTGAAATAGCAAAAGTGTTTCCTCTGCATTCTGAAAGGTTTTGTTCCTTCATAAAACGTACTGGGAAACATAATCAAATGATCAGTGAATGTATGATACTTGTAAATCCACACCCTATTTCTCGATGAAAAGTAGGCAGACATTTTGTGAACAAATAAATATGGCGAAAGGTAACTTGGAAACGTATCAGCTATTGATATCTTACTATTTTAAGCTTTTTTTCAGGATATACTATCTATGATTAGCAGCTGCAAAAAGCTTTGTAATTGTTGAATAGTCAGACAGAGCTGTTGTAAATGTTCATGTGCACATATTCACCGGAAGTATGCCTGTCACTTGTGATATTGTGTCCACCTCGACGCTGAAGGAGTCAACAATTGACTTGAGTTTCGTTTAAATAATAATGACTTTCTGCCATCTAGCGGCAATAATCGTCAACATGATGATAGTATATTGCGCGCCACTTCTGCACAAGATTTAGCGTCCAGTCAAGCCATAGACAAGATCATACAACCACTTCCGGTTAATACCTTCAAAATAAAGATATACTTACTGTGACAAGCCAGGGGAAAAGTCATCTTAAATCATACTAGTCCTTCAGTATCGGCCTTTGAAAGTATATCACCTACATGTCATTATTATTTACTTGTTCTTCTTGCTGTTGTTATCGCAGCATTGCTTGATGCTTGATACCTGCAAATTAAGTTTTATGAAAAACAGTCGCTTAGTGACGTATTATTAAGGGGACAGAGGGAGGGTTGTTTGAAAGCAAAGAGGCAACTTCTGTCAACATGTTTTAAATAAAACGACCTACCTGAGTCGGTAAAATGCCTTATCTTCCAAATTAGATGATACTAATGTTGATACATTATTGCCTTCTTGAGACTTTTAATCTGAAGGTAAACAAACTTGAGATGCTAGCTTACTGTTAGCTAGCTGCTGCTCTCTGTGTAGCTTCTTGGACTATTCTTTCCGTTAAATGGTGACCCACTGTGCCACAAAATAAGGTTATTTCTTGACAGCAGGTTAACACGACCTGGCAACATGGCGAGCGTGCATGAGAGTTTGTATTTCAACCCTATGATGACGAACGGAGTGGTCCACGCTAACGTGTTTGGGATCAAAGACTGGGTGACTCCGTATAAAATATCCGTCCTGGCGCTGCTGTACGACATGACTGCGTCTAAAACCACTCTGCCCGAGAGAAGGAGGCTTAACAAACTCATCCTACCTTTGCAGCAGGTTGGTTTTATAAATGTGTTATCTTGCATACCTCTGTGTTGTGGTGCAGGTGTTTCATAGTTGTTTAAATTATAATACTGGCTGCTTATTCTTATTGTGATATGGACCTTGAGTCTGAAATAAAGATTGAATTGAATTGCAGTACCCAACATCTGTAACAAGAATGTTGACATAAATCTATATACTTATAAACTAGGAAATATATAATTTACTACTGTCATTCTGCAGCTACTTCATTACTTCTTCTATGTTTTTATAATGCTCCTACTTATCTTTTTATACTTGAAATTTGTAATTATTTATTTTATATATGTTATGTTTTAATTCAATTGTTATGTGTGTGTGTGTGTGTGCTTTACTAAATAGCCTACTGTTCACTTGACTAAATACTGTTACAGTTTGTATTTCTCTCTATTAGTACTGTCTCTTTGCTGTAACTATGTACATTTCCCCTGTGTTGGACTAATTAAGGAATGCTGATTCTGTACCTTGTTTGTTATCAGGGTCCAGACCTGACTCTTGGCCAATTCCTGAAGACTGTGGAGGAGTGTTGCCCTCAGACTGCTTATGCTGTCAAACAAAGGTACGCTGCTTCCGTCTGAAACACTGGGAATTACTTCACTAACAGGTAATGCTGTAACTTTGGTAGAAAGGGTCACCAGGCTACTTAGTTACTGGTGCTTTCATTGTCTCTTAAGTTTAAGAAATTGTAGCACATACTTTTGATGTAGCATTTGGTATGGCATCTAGTGAAATGATAACCAATCTGTTAGATAATACAATATCACAATAATGTTAAAGTTTGGACCTGTGTAGATGCTGAGGGTCTTTTTCCTTCAAAGGCTGCAGGAAATGGCAGATGGAGAGCTGAAAGACATGGAGTACTTCTTTTCTACTCTTCCCACTCCATTCACTGCTTTTGATTCTGAGGCTTATAAAACCAGTGTTGTAGGTGAGTAGTACAAAGGATTTCTCAGCTTTTTAAGGGATACTTTGGTTTTATTGAAATGGGGTTGTATAAGGTAAAACATTTTATTGTAGTGACAGTCTAACTTGTTTTAGATGTAATGGAGAATCAGGCCGGAGTATATTTTAAGTGCATGCTTTATTTAAAATATCTTCTGTTTCTCCATGGATCGCATACAACATTCATAACATTTTGATTGTCCCTTTAAATTCTGAATTGTCTGTGTTATTCTCACTAAGAGGTTTTGCATTCATTTGTTTCCCTCCTATTTTTTAGGTCTTTTTATGAGACACATGCTTCTGGCCTACAACAAGCTGTCTTTCAGTCAGGTCTACAAGCTGTACAAGTCCCTGCAGCTCTACTACCACAGTCACTACGCCAAGCCTGCTGACGGGCGGGTCAGTTTGCCGGCGCTGGTCGCTGACGACTCAGACATGGACCTCACCAGCACTGAGGATACTGTGGGAGACCGGATAGACAGAGAGGAGCTGGACACCCCACTGCATGAGTCAGAGCTTCGGTAAGTGGATTATAAATTGGGTTTTGTCCTAATCATTGGCACCTACTACTATAAATGTATTCACTGTGTGTCTGCGCAATGTGTTCAGATTACTAACTGGTCAAACTTCTGATCAGAGGGATTTTAAAAAGCTGATCTTGTGTTATTTCTGCCCCACTGTAGGAATGACAATACTCCAAGCAGTGGCCCTCTGTCACAGAAACAAGCTGAGTACTTTCTTGCAAGACAGGTGAGATGTTAAATCAAGAAACTTTATCTGACTGTATTAATGCATTCTTGTTTTAATTTGTAGATTTGCCACAATAGATAATAAATGAACCAGGCATCAGCATCCTTTGTTTAACCTAGATATGGTCATATAGCACCTTAGGGTTCTTACAGTGTTTTAAAACATCTTTCTGCAGGCTTATCTTCTGAAGAACGATGAGAACAAAGCTCTAAAGCCTGCTGCGCTGCAGGAAGAGCTCAACAACATGCTGAAGTTTAACCCGGACTTTGCTGAGGCTGTGAGCTCCGTCCTCTCATTTTATTCTACTATGTCAAAAGTCTTCCATAGCGGGATTATCTTTTGTATCAACTCTGTGATTTTCACTCTCTCCTCAGCATTATTTAAACTACCTGAACAGCATGAGAGTCCAGGACATCTTCCTCTCCGCCCACTGTCTCTTACATTATTTTGACCGCCTCATCCTGTCTGGTAATGAAGGAAAGAGCAACGGGGACGAGGGCTACGGCCGAAGTCTCCGCTACGCAGCTCTCAACCTGGCTAGCCTGCATTGTCGCTTCGGCCACTAGTGAGTACAAGAACTGGTGGAGTCTTAACAGTGAACATGTTCCAAAAACAGAGTATCTGTAAACATGGCTAAAATGTGGCTTGTGGCTTATTTTTAACTTGTGATGTGTGCCATTTTGTAAAGCACTTTGAGCTGCACATGCTGTATGAAAAGTGCTATATAAATAAAGCTTTATTATTATTATTACAATATCTGCTCTCCATTAGTCAGCAGGCTGATCTGGCTCTACAGGAAGCCATCCGCATTGCCCAGGAGTCCAACGATCACGTGTGCTTGCAGCACTGTCTGGTAAAATATGTTATTCTACACAACTATACGATAATACTTTATTGTGAGATAAAGTCAGATTTTTTTCTTGCATCACGATTTTAATGCAGATTTGATTTGGAAAAAATTCTATTTAACTTCAGAAATGCCTAGTGCATAAAGAGTGCTTCAGTCTAAATTAAAGGTGGGACCCTCTACAACAGTTTACATTTGCTGTTCAGCTGGGGTCAAATATTTAAGAAACTAGGAAACAGACTTTAACATAATACGGCTATTGTTATTAATTTACTTCATGTGACTGATGAACTAAATGGTTAATTATGTCTGAATTTAATATGAGTGTACCTTATTTTACTCCTCCCTGTCTGTGTGTCAGAGTTGGCTGTACACCCTGGAGCAGATGAAGGGATCTGACAGCACGGTGCTGACGGAGGACTCCGTGAAAATGGCTGCCCATTTCTGCCTGCCAGTGAGTGCCACATAAGCGCTGTAATAAGAATGCCTTTATTAAAGTGGCTGGCAGTTAATTCATTATGTTTTAATTGCCTTGGCTCAATTTGAAAACCATTCAGCCAAATCCTGATCACAAAATGCTGTCATCTTAAATGTGAGCATAACATAAGAAACAAATATAAACGTCTGTACGAAACTGCTTTGTTAATTAGAATTACAATTATCTCAACTTTGATATATGTTCACCTCTGAGTTTGAATTTTGTTTTGCATTTTTATGAAATGTTATTATTAAATAATTCTGATTAATGTGAACACAAATTCATCCAAGTAGTTTGCATGTTATTCTTGTTTGCAATGTTGAGTAAGAAAGTCATTTTTAAATCCTTAATATATAGGAAGCTTTTAAATAAAAAAAAATACAGCAAGTTAAAACAGAGCTTGCCACACATAGCAAAAAAAGCAGCACAGAATGCATCCTTCATCATTGATTGTACACATCTTAACCAGATCTTTGCATAGGTTTTATTTTGACGTGTTGTCCACCACACTGATGATAACCCTCTCTGCTGTAGTACCTGGCCTCTCTGGGCATTCAGTCTCTGGTCCAGCAGGGGGCGACACAGGGGAAGACAGCCCACAAACTGATGGACGCTCTGAAGGACACTGACATCCTGCACTGGAAGCACAGCCTCTCGGAGCTGATCGAGATCAGCCTGGCCCAGACTACGTCCATATGGAGGATGTACGGCAAGAGGTCAGGCTCTTCAACTCGCTCCCCCCTGACACCCATTTGTCAGTTGTGTTCACTTACAGTGAACTGCATGCTCGCAGGCAACCGTCCCTTCACTCGCAACAAATCATCTCTGTGAAACACGCCTGAAATGTCTCATGTTTTGACGCATGGATTAACGTTTATCACATCTAATGTACAACACAAACTTGTCTTGAGTATAAAAATACATATTACAAGTTAAGGTGTAAAAATACATGATTCAGGAGCAGCCCTTTTCCTGTGTCTCGTGCAGCACCATGGCTCTGCAGCAGGCCCAGCTGCTTCTCAACATGAGCAGTCTGGAGCAAGTCAACTTCGGGGTCCAGCAGAACAACACGGAGGCGTTCGCTGTGGCTCTTTGCCACCTGGCCGAGCTGCACGCTGAGCAGGTAACACATTTAATTCGATCTCGTCCGTCTGCTTCCTGCCCTGCTCCAGCACATCCATTAGTCAGGTGACCCGACATTGAGGGAAAGGTGATAAACATGGATCAGGTCTTCCTTACAGCTCCCTGACTTCAACATGTCTGTTTGCTTCTGTTGCAGGGCCTGTACTGTGCCGTTTCAGACATTCTCCAGCATCTGAAAGAACAGTTTCCTCCTCACTCCCAGCATGCAAAGGTGCGTTCTCTTAACCCTACTGTAATATTCAGGGCAGACATCAGTAACTGAAGACGTTGAGAAAAAGTGTTAAGGCTGGCCAGCAAACTGTAACAAACACAAAGTTGTAATGCTTCTATTAAATGAATTTGTTAGGCTTATTTTTAAACCAACAAAATGTTTGCTTCTTGCCTTACTTAGATAATGTTTAATGAATGCAGGGAGAAATGCACATCTTTTTTCCATTTGACCTAGTTTGTTTACACTAAATGGTTCATGGGGATTGAATGTTTTTCAGTTTTGAAGTTGTCTAACTGTCTACTATTAACATTTATATTAAAATGAATATAATGATTTAATGTACTATATTTAAATATGTGATTTAAAAAAGGTTAAAGCACACTAAATAACAGGAATCTCCCTAAATCCGAAGCTTACGATGTAATGATGACAGTTACCGCTATTTTACAGCGTTATAATTTGTGTATTTTAAAACAGGTGTCAAAAGTCAGATTTCATTATTTAGGTCTTAAGGCATGTGGGAGACGTTGCTTTATTCTTGAATGCTTGCATAATCCATGATAAGAAATGTACTAAATAATGATATTTTTGTTATTTTTACCTCAATCTTTAATTCAGCTCTGGATGCTGTGTGATCTGAAAATCCAGTTTGACAGACACATGAACGAAGGGAAATACCATTTGGCAGAGCCACTAGTCACAGCCATCTCTGCCTTAAACAAAACAGAAGGTCTCTACAGGTAACAGCAAGACTCTTTATTCTAACAATGGCTGTCGCTAACGTTTGTATTTTGTGTCGGAGCTGTAACAGTGTGTTTTCTGACAGGAAAGCTCAAGTTCTGAAGGCTCTGAACCGCAGCACTGAGGCGTACAGCGTCTTGCAGCGGCTGCAGGTGCACTGTGAGAGGACTAAATGCACAGAGGTGGTCATCAGGTAGACACTTTATCCATTCTGATGTGTCCTGGAGTGTAGAGGACAGCGAACTTACTTCAACTTAGCCTACATTCTCTTTTTATTTATGCAATTGAATTGACTCACTTATTTTAGGGCTACCATAACTATTTAATGTATGACGTTCAAGCTTCGGTATGAGCTGCATTTTCTTCTTGTGTGCGTCATGCCCTTTTCTGTCTCATACAGAGTTATGCTTTCCACCGCTGAGCTCCACTGGGAGTCGTGTGGCTTCTCCACAGCTCTCCCTCTCCTCCTGCAGGCCCTGGCTCTGGCCAGGCAGCACCACCTCCAGTCCCTGGCCTCAGAGACCATCCTGCACCTGGCCTTCACTCAGGTCATTCACAAGAAACACATCAAAATGTTCCCACATACAAATCACAAAAGCATTACAAAGCATTACAAAGCATTGCATTACGGCTGGTGTATAAAATTAAAAAAAATACAACATGCTTGCTTTCTTTAGGTGGTGCAAAGCTATTTTATTTGTAGAGCATCAAGGTAATTGCTTTACAGGAGCATAGAATTATATTAAACTTGATGAAGCTTCTTACATTTGACTGCTCTGTTTTTTCAGCAGGATTACAGAAAAACTAAAACCATTTTCAATTAAATGTTTTCATAGGGTGAGGCATAGGCCAAGTAAGAACACATTACATTTTTGAGCGGATTCAAATCACGGGGAAGATACACAAATTATTTTTCACTTACAATAACATGGCAAGAATGGGCATAAGTGCTGCATTTCATAATTAAAAGAAAATAGTTCCTATATGTGAATATTCACATTAACACAGCTATCAAGTTGATTTTTAAATGTTTTGAGCAATAAAATCTCAATGTTGTTCCAAAGTAAATACTCAAAGCTCATGGACACATCAGTCAGGAAATAACCTTTCAACTGGAAAGATGTGACCAGCCCAGGAGCATGTGAATGCACCATTGGCCTTGGCAGATGTTTTTGCTCTGAGTGCCGTTCTAATTGTCTCTGTTTTCTGTCTGCAGCTGATGTTGGGAGTTCCTGAGCACGCTCTGAGTGTTCTGCATGAAGCCATCGAGCCTGTTCTGGCCCACGGATCGGTCATGGACAAGGGCAGAGCCCTGCTGCTGACCGCACGCTGTCAGATGGCGGTGGCTGGGTTCAGGCCAAATGGACAAGGGCAAGCAGGTAACTGACCACTTCGCAGTACATCTGATCTCATAGACATTAAATTAAGGTAGAACAGATATTACCATTCAAAGAAACAGAGCAGCATGCACTCTCAGTGGGCTAGAGCGTTGATCATCAGATCAAGGGGCGTTTGGGGAACACCAGTTCGAAACCCGCCTCGGCCGCCCACTGCGTCAGGCCGTTGTGTCCTTGGGCAAGACACTTCACCCTAATTTGCTCCTGTGGGTATTGTCCACAGTAATAACTGTTGCATGTCTAATATGTGTAAATATGTGCCACGCCCACTTCCGTTTTTAACGTAAACTCCCCCCACTTTAACTTTCACGTAAACGAACGAAACTCGCTACGCATATCTAAGGTGCGGAGACGAACAAAAAAGCGTTTCTCGTCCTCCGCGCAAAATCTATCTTCTCCCAGGGACTTTATCCGTACGACTAGAAATTCGTCGGGTAGCATCTCCAGACATGGGCAATTCAAAGTTATCACGGAAGTTTTTTTCTTTCGCACGGCGCAGCCGTGATTTGGCGCCAAAGTTCGCGTTCGCTCGATGCTAGGCCCATCAAACGCCATGGAACACGATGATGTCATAACTCAAACTGACATGCTCACAACGCCACCAAACTTCACATGATGGTTAACACTGCGGCCCTGAACAGCTCTACGTCAAATTTTATGTTACTTAATATGGCATTACCATGGCAACGAATCCCTCACCATAAAACACGGTGTCGCTGTAACTCCAATGGACACGGTCCCATCGTCCACCAATCTTCACTTTTATATCACCGGTCCATGCCTCAACAGCTCTACGTGAAATCTGAGATCTCACCGTATGCCGTTTCCATGGCAACGCATCCCTCGCCGTAAAACACAATGTTGTCTTAAGTCAATGGAAAATTGTCCAAACTGCACCAGACTTCAGATGGTGGCTAATGGTCCGGCCCCTGAACAGCTCTACGCCAATTATGGGATGTCATCATATGCCGTTTCCATGGCAACGCATCCCTCGCCAAAAAACACAATGTTGTCTTAAGTCAATGGAAGATGATCCAAACTGCACCAGACTACGGATAATGGCTAATGGTCCGGCCCTCAACAGCTCTACGCCAATTATGGGATGTCACCATATGCCGTTGCCATGGCAACGCATCCCTCGCCAAAAAACACAATGTTGTCTTAACTCAATGGAAAAGGTTCCAAACTGCACCAGACTTCAGATGATGGCTAATGGTCTGGCCCTCAACAGCTCTACGAGAAATCTGAGATCTCACCGTATGCCGTTTCCATGGCAACGCATCCCTCGCCATGAAACAGTGTTATCTTAAGTCAATGGAAAATGATCCAAACTGCACCAGACTTCATATGATGGCTAATGGTCCAGCCCTCAACAGCTCTACGCCAATTATGGGATGTCATCATATGACGTAGCCATGGCGACAGATCCCTCGCCATGAAACACTGTGTTGTCCTAACTCACTGGAAAAACGTCCAAACGGCACCAGACATCAGATGATGGCTAATGGTCCGGCCCTCAACAGCTCTACGCCAATTATGGGATGTCATCATATGCCGTTTCCATGGCAACGCATCCCTCGCCAAAAAACACAATGTTGTCTTAAGCAGGGGCGTCGCCTGGACCTGAAAACATTTGGGGCTTAGCCCACAGTGGCGGCGGCACTACAGTGGAATATTCTACTGCAACACTCCCCACACGCACACACAGTACACCCGCGACTGTTACAATGTGAATGACACAAGCACACGTTTATTTCCATGCAACTCTCCGATTGGTCTGGTGTCATGCCTCTGTTGCATTCACTGAACACGGGAAATTACAGTGCTGCCGTCCTCTCTTGTGTCATGATGAGGTTCACGTAAAGCACGGTTAATGTATTATATTATTGAGGGAGAATTGTCCGGGGCTAGAGAAAAAACATTCGGGGCTCAAGCCCCGGATGCCAAGGCCAGGCGACGCCACTGGTCTTAAGTCAATGGAAAATGATCCAAACTGCACCAGACTTCAGATGATGGCTACTAGTCCGGCACTCAACACCTCAATATGACAATAGTGAGTTTTCCTCTAAAGCTGTTGCCATGGCAACGCATCCCTCGCCGTTAAGCATGATATTGCTATAACTCCTGTGTAAATGGTAAAAAAAGTGTTCAAACTTTACATGTGTGCTAACGGTACAGCCCTAAAGACATATATGTGTCAGTTTTGAGATTTCGTCAAATGCCGTTGCCATGGTAACAAAATGGTCGCCGTGAAACACGGTTTTCTCATAACTCCAGTTAACATGGTCCAAACGGCCCAGAACTTCACAGGTTTGATAACGATGCAGCCCTCAACACATCTAGGCATATTATGGGGTGTCATCAAATGCCGTTGCCATGGCGACAGATCACTCGCCATCAAACACAATGTTTATGATACTGCTGTAAATCCCATGTACGTTGTCCGATCGGCCTGAAACTTTCCACGTTTGCCAACGTTCGAGTCCTCGAGACACCTAGACACACACCTCGACGTGCGGACAACAGCCTGCGGAGCGTCGAAGACCCGCTCAACGCTGCTTGCAGCTTTAATTGTTATTATTATTATTATTAGGCGCCACTTTCAACCTTCTTCTCCAGTAGGACTCAGATGAGGGTGTACTCTTATGTGTGGCTGTGAACATTTTTTTTTATTATGAAGGGCAGACCATCTATTTGTATTTTTTTTTTTTTTTTTTTTTAGAAAGGGGCAGGTCATATAAGATTTTATTCTTCTCCCTGCTCCTTTTCGCTCAATGGTGTGTAGAGACATGTTTTGTTGGCAATTATTGTACATTTGGCTATGCTTACCATGAGCGGGACAAATAAAAATGAAATGAAATATCCCAACCAATCAGCTACTGTTGTGACTTGCACAGTGGAGCTTATCATGTTTGTTAGATAATGGGCCCTGCAGTCCCGCCACTTTGGATCAACAGGGACAGTGAGGGGGCTTAAAGTCTCTTGATACAATCTTGGCCCCCATTCCCTGTTCAATGAAGCACTATAAACAAGATTGGATAACACTGTGGTCATCATCTAGAATAGGGGTCACCAACCTTTTTTAGGGTGAGGGCTACTTTAAAAAAATAAAACAAGTCGGGGGCTACTTTTACTTTTCTTTTCTTTTTTTGCGGTGTATATATTTAGCACATTTTAACATTATGATATGCTGACCTTTAACCTTTGTTTGCTGTTTGGGTCTGTGGGACCCGTTTGCAGTGTTTACTAAAAGAACATGTTTGCAATCTAATTATTTTAACCTGCTTTATTTGGGGGTGGACGGGCCTCACCTCCTCCAGGGGGGTCCTCACCTCCTCTAGGGGGGTCGGGGGGCATGCACCCCCAGGAAGATTATTTTTTAATGTTGAAGTGAAATGCATCAATCTGGAGCACTTTGAGCACAACATGAATTGATGGATACAGCTCTCAACACTCAGATGAAAGAGAGCTGTATACTTTTCAATAATCCAAACGTCTTTAGAATATGATCACAACCAATAACAAATCATTTAAACTGGTTTATTCTTATCTTATGTTACCTAGTTAGCATTTTTTCTTTTTATGTATGCTTATTTTACTAATCACTCCCCTTTCAAACTGTTTTTTGATTTGTTTTACTGTCCTATAGTACACATTGGAATGATTTCTTACTTTATCTATATTAAATAGATAAAGGTATGCTCTCCCTAGCTCTCTCTCTCTCCCTCCCTCCCTCCCCCCCAGCTCTCTCGCTCTCTCTCTCCCCCTCTCCCTCCCTCCCTCCCAAGCTCGCTCGCTCTGTCTCGCTCGCTCACAGAGGCTGTGAGCTCCTCCGTGGCGATCGACGGCTTGCGTTAAAAAAAAATAATAAACATATTTTTAAAGTGGGGGGACACAAACGGGATTTCGAAAAGTGGGGGGGACATTTCCCCCCTGTCCCAGGTGGAAATTACGCCATGCGTGTGTGTGCGTCAAGTGCAATAAAGATATGCAAGTTGCAACACACAGAGTAAAACTCTGCCCCCCATGTGTTGTATAGGCTGGCATGATAGGCTGTTCAATGGGGCTGATGTGTTGTGTAGATTCTGCCAGAAGGAAAATCAGCGGGGAGGTGCCACATTGCTTTTCTTCCAGACTGCAACGCTCGCTGGTCCCGCAAATCAAGCAAGAACGTGATTGGTAGATATTAATTTTGGGGGTGGGGGGAGGAGGGGTGTTAGATAGATATAGAGTTGTAGTAAGTAGATAGAGTTCGCTATGATTTAGGTTTCGTTTATGCATAGGGTAGATTCTTTTAATTACATTTCCTTTTTTGTTTTGTGTATTTTATACATTTTGGATTTGCTTGGCGAGCTATTTTTAGAACATGCCCCGCGGGCGACTCACGTTGCCTCTGCGGGCGACCAAGTGCCCGCGGGCACCGTGTTGGCTACCCCTGATCTAGAAGTTAATAATGAAAAATAATCAAACTGAGTTCTTAGAAGTCCATTCAAACACATTCGACAGCTGTAGTAGATACTGTATCAGGTCACCATTGTCTTTAAATGCTTTCACACCTCAGGGGCAGATACGCCATGATTGTATCACAATATCATAGCTAATCACATCTCTGTGGTCTTGTATCTCATAGCATCTCTAGCTCTGATGTTTAGATCTAACTTTGAAAAGGGTGATGTTAGTTTCCCCTTTTTATGTTTGCATACAGCACACAAAAACAAACAGGTTTTGGACCAAACTTCTACACAAAGACAGAAAAAAACATTTATGTACATAGAAGATTTGGATATAAAAAGAGATTCAAGTAGAAACACAACACATATTCTGTAGTACCACCAAGGTACAAGACAGCATATGATACTTTATGAAGACTCCTGTACTTTTACTTAAGTAGGATTTTGAACACAGGAAATAATTGCTCATATTACTCATTAAAAAAAGTATCTTTGCATTCATGTTTGATACTTTTAATCACAGTAAGTCAA